TTTTGTCTTGTGAAAAAAATTTCCCTGGAACCTAACCCCCTCATTTACATTAATTCTTATGGGGAAATTGGATTCGCTTAACATCGTTTCGCTTAAAGTCGCATTTTTCAGGAACATAACTACAACGTTAAGTGAGGAGTTACTGTATTTTTCATTCTAGTATGAACTTCACTGTTTGGCCAAAACTGAACTTAAAAAAAAAAAAGACCTTATTCTGTACAAGATTTCCATCCACAATGCAAATTATTCCTCCCTAAGGCACAAGCAACCTCTGTGTAGATGGTGGGTGGTAGGAGAGCTGTAAATGCCATTTTTTATGGATCACAGTGGATGTCCATTACAGTCCCAATCTCTAGTCTCTGGCATCCAGCAATTGCCTCTTCACATTTCCGGTCATGAAGAACCTGCAGAACCACCTGTCTACAAATTCTGGGACAGGTCAGAACCTAGAATTGTGGGAAAGAATTTTTGCCATATGTTTCCCCTTCAATCTGTGGGTTATCTGGAATGTTGCTATGGGTAACGGTTGGTCAGGATTGGGCCTTCTGTAAAGTGTTTCACAGTCTGGGATTAAGAGAGCAGACTAACCTGCAGGGAGTCTTTTTCTACTGCAACAGTCATCATTTTGTCATCACATTTTACTGAGAGGGCTACATCAATGCTTCCCTGCACCTCTTCAGGTTCTTCAGATTCTTGAAGCAGTTGCTCATAGAAACGACTCATTATTGTGTCTTCTGTATCCCTTGGTAAGGAAATTCCTTCTCCCACCTTATCGTGCCTTCCTCTGTTAATGTGAAAAGGAAAACCCAGGCCGTCGCTTAATGTGGGCTCCTTCAAAGCAGGCAGAGGGTTATCTGGCAGTTTGGTCAGCTCCGGGGGAAGAAAAGGGTGGTCTTCATCATTCATCTCTTCTAGAAACAGAAAAAAGAGTAAATCAAATCATCATCATAGAATCATAGAAGATTAGGGTTGGAAGAGACTTCAGGAGGTAATCTAGTCCAACCCCCTGCTCAAAGTAGGGCCAACCCCAACTAAATCATCCAAGCCAGGGTTATGTCAAGCTTTAAAAACCTCTAAGGATGGAGATTACACCACTTCCTCAGATAACCCATTCCAGTGCTTCACCACCCTCCTAGTGAAATAGTGTTTCCTAATATCCAACCTAAACCTCCCCCACTGCAACTTGAGACCATTGTGCCTTGTTCTGTCATCTGCCACCACTGAGAACAGCCAAACTCCATCCTCTTCGGAACCCCCCTTCAGGTTGTTGAAGGCTGCTATCAAATCCATCCCCACTCCTCTCTTCTGCAGACTAAATAAGCCCAGTTCCTTCAGCCTCTCCTCGTAAGTCATGTGCCCCAGCCCCCTGATCATTTTAGTTGCCCTCTGCCAGACTCTCTCCAATTTGTCCATCCTTTCTGTAGTTGGGAGCCCAAAACTGGATGCAATACTCCAGATGTGGCCTCACCAGTGCCGAATAGAAGGGAATAATCACTTCCCTCAATCTGCTGGCAGTGCTCCTACTAATACAGCCCAATATGCCATTAGCCTTCTTGGCAACAAGGGCACACTGTCTCATATCCAGCTTCTTGTCCACTGTAAACCCCAGGTCCTTTTCTGCAGAACTGCTGCTTAGCCAGTCAGTCTCCAGCCTGTAGCAATGCATGGGATTCTTCCTTCCTAAGTGCAGGACTCTGCACTTGTCCTTGTTGAACCTCAAATTTCTTTTAGCCCATTCCTCCAATTTGTCTAGGTCACTCTGGACCCTATCCCTACCCTCCAGCTTGTTTACCTCTCCCCCGCAGCTTAGTGTCATCCGCAAACTGTATTGTATTCTATCCCATCAAGTTCTTTATAATTTGGAATTCACTTGTGTATGAATACCAAAGAAATGATAAAAGGTCATAGTGTGTGCAAACTAATTTACTTGCTAGTATAGATCCAAAGGAAATACTAATGTTATTGTATCCACTTGTCTATTTCCTGTGCTTGCTATCCTTGTACTTAGTTAACCCTAAAACAATAACGTGTGTTAATTTTTAGATGTGAATTTAGTTGATGTGTAAAACTACATGAAGGATTGTTTCTGGTTATCACATTGTCGTTACATTATGTTTCCCATTGGAGATTGGAGCCTTGGAAATGTAAATTAAAGGTTTTTTAACTTCAAAGAAAGGGCCATTAAGCAAAAATGGAAAATACACGAACTTTGTCTGTTTAGTCAACAGCGGGAGAGCCCATGCTGTGTTAAAAGCACTTTCCAGACTGTTTTCAACTACAAGGAGGAACTCTGGGATCAATTCTGCATCTCTGATCTATTTGGATGCTGTCAGGGGGCATTCCAGATACAAGACAGAGGTCCCCAAAACTATTTTGGGAAACCATGAGAGACTTGTGGGAACTAGCAGACATTACATCTCTGCTATCAACTGGACTTACAAACTCTGACACACCGGTTCTATATTTTACCTTCTTTAACCTCTCAATAACTGATTTATTTTTCTTTAGTTTGCTAAAGACATTGGCTCTCAGCATGGGTTTTGGTATGAGATCCAGAGCATCCATTGACCTGGGGTGAGTTGCTGACATTTTGGGGTTGGAAGAACCTAATGTGAGATGAATTTTAGTTTTAATAACCTTTCATCACAAAGTCCAATTTGTCTGAGAGGCTCTCCATCGCATCTTGCCAAAGGGGCTTTTCTGTGGCTCCATGGTAAGGCTAATATAGTAATCCAGGAGTACACATTTGGTACTGGTTTGGTAAAATCTAATTATAGAATATACCACCAGTTTGGGGTATCTGTCCTGTTTTCTGACAGGCTGACCTGACTTAGGCACTCTTGGTTTTGAGCCACATCCTAGACACCGTGACAAACATTATCCAGAATAACTGTCCTTGCGGGACTGCAAAAGCAACTACAACAATTTTTCCTTTAGAGAGTGCAGTAGTGGATGACGGGCCCAATCCTGTAAGTCTTTAATCAGGCATATCTACTGCTGGAATTTTGTTTCAGTAAGGACTGAAAAAGGACTTTGAGGAATGGGCCTATTATCTGCAAAGGGTAAAAAAATGAGAAGGAAACATCACAACCAATTAATACAGTATATTCACTTCAACAACGTTGCTGTCACACAAATTCCTGGAGTAAAATTTTACTGTTACCTGCCAATGTAAATCCAGAATTAACTCAACTGGAGTTCCAGATGTACACCAGGGTAACTTCAATATTCAATAAAGTTCTCTTGATTTACACTGGTGGGCAAACAAGAATAGTATTTCCCCGTGGCTCTCTGCATTGTTATTCAGGGCTGAAATCACAACATCTGATTTCAAGCAGTTAATTCTCTGGAGGCCATACAACTACTCTAGAGACACAAATATAAGCTTTTTTTTATTATGCAAAACATTATTCTCAATAGGCCAAATTCAGATCTAGTATAAGTGACTATTCTTTAACTGGCTTCAATGGAGTTGGACCCACTTTTGTCATCAGTGACTTTGGCCCAATAACGCTATCTTTTAAAAGCCTTTTGATTTACTATCTTTGCTCAGGCTCTTCTGTTGAGACAATTTTGTGTGTAAACCATTTAAAATAACTCAGGGAAACATTATGTTCACATTTTTGAAAGACAAAACCAGACTAATTAACAACCTGTCCAGGCATTGGTGGTCCCTAATTCCAGAGACCACTAAGTACAGTTAATTGTATTAGCTTCAGGTTGTGGTAAATGCAGCTACTCAATTCTACCAATATTTCAGGTAATAGCACAGTCTCCAGGGGTTTCCTACTAGAACTCTTGTATTTTTTTTTTGGTAAGATTTTGCTGATTGGAAGATGTGAGTTCCCTTGGTACTTTGAGCCTGGAAGTACTGAGATCCCAGCGAATGAAACCTCAAACACATGAGGCCCTGTCAAAATGTCACTTAGCTAAGAGTATGGTATGTTTTTGTATATGATAAAAATCCACCCTCATACTTACCACTGTCTTCAATTCGTAGATGGAACCTATTAGCCACAGGGGCTATCGTGTAGGAAGTAACTGGGTGATAGCCATGGTCATAAGCCCACTTAATCAAATTCTCATGAGATGAGGGAATATCAGGTATTACTAATTTAGTCATAATCATAGATCGTTCTGTTTCTTTTCCAAAGCCAATACTGTTTGGTGCCTGCACATAAAACAGAAATAGATTGGTTCGTGAATTGGCACTTGAAGCTTTTTCCAGTCATAGAAAAATGAATTGAAAAATGCGAAAGAATAACATTTATTGCATTTGGTTTGTCAACATATTTTACCCTTTCCTACTAAAAGTTCACAGGGACAAACATATGACCCTTAATATAACCATATAATTTTCAGACCATGAGTTGAGGTTAGCCATAAGTTGAGGTGAACCACAATAAGAGACCTGATTTTTTCAAATGTCCATCTTGCCTCACTAGTCACTACGGGGATGGTTGTCATTTTAATTATGTAAGCAAAATCTTCATTGTACCACTACTCCGGTCTCCTGCACAGTATGGCAGCAATGAAAAAGGCACAGCCTACGACCCAATCCTTTATGGTGCAGCTGCACATCATCTATTCCACCTTAGAAGCCAATGGGACTTGAGGACACTGAGACCCAGATCCTCAGAGGTATTTATGCACTAACTCCCATTGAAATCAGCTGGGCCTCAGTGTCTCGCTAGAAGAGGCTCTTAGAAATTGATCCTCCGAAGTACCGAATACCTCCTGCAAAATGCTGAGCATCCTCCAACATCACTGTAAATTTTCCAGTCACTGGAAATCTGGAGTACTCAGCATCTTTCAGGACTATAGCTAGCTATAAGACATGTTTAAAAAAATATATAAGTACGATGTATATTCTCATAAATACAACTTGTGCATAACTTGATAAGCTACAATATGAAAAGTATGTACACAAATAAATTCATAGTGATATTACTCTCAGATGATTACAGATGTCAGTCATCTTTCATTTTATTATAAATAATTATGCTAAATTTCAAATCTCTCATTTAAATCTGCAAGTCAAGGGGATAAAACAAGCATCTCTAGCTGTCACAGGGTCCATCATAAAATATTTGCTGTTATTCCACTTTAAATTTATTTTAAATATTTGGTATCTTGGGTTTATATTTGCACAAAGTTCAGTTCTGTAACAATCACATTAACTACAGACCAAGCTGAATGTAATAATAACGTCCAGTAAAGAGGAAAATGGACCACTTTTTAACAACTGCTGCTATGTGCCTGCAGATCACACTATTTTCATGCTGCACAAGAAACACTTTCATTTCCATGCCTGATTATTTTCTCTATCATATATGCTGCATTTTTGCTAAAATCCCCATTTGTTTCCCATTTTGTTCGCTGTCAACATGACCAAATCTTAATCCTTTCCCACTGCAGGGCTTTAAAAGATTTACAGTGCTGATCTGTCTTTGCCAGTTTGCTGCAGGACAGTTGTCATATCTGCCTGCTGCTTCAGATCAAGGTTCAAAGAAATAAATTTCCTCTTAATGTGTCACCAACCAAGTTTTTGGACAAGGAGATATGAGTAGGTAGGTCTGTTGATAACACTAAAGGTCCAATCTGACATTCTTTATACACAGCTTCCAGAAAAGTTAATGGGAATTCATTATCAGGCTCTTTAGACATAAAAATTTGATATTTACAGTTAAAAGATCATACTATAAGCGCAAAGTATAATGAGAAGCGAGCCGGGTGATCTGTGGCCACAAAGTTATCTGCAGCATCATCAATATAGAAAAGTCCCTCAAGGAGGAGGAAAAAAACAAAACAAAAAGGAAACAAGGGAATCCCAATTTTAGTGTCTCCTCTTAATACCTTGGTTCAAGTAATCTTTTACTTTTCAGCAGATACTAATCTGGATACAACTTCATATACATTTCAAGTAAACATAGTTCTGACTGGCTGGAATGACTATACTGCCCCAAATTTGCCGTATTTTCCTTTCTGTCCTCACTTTTTTAATTTTGTTGTTAGGACAACACAGCCAAACAAATATTATTGTCTTAACTGGCACTGGCCAATTTTAGGATTTGTTTGCACCTCTCCATTACACACTGAACCTGCACACCTTCACTCCTGTGCACAAACCCACCAAGACTAAGTGTAGTAACAAAGGTTGGCAGAATTGGGCAACTCATTTGTATGCCCTGTCAACATCCTGGTTCACACCTTGAGGACCCATATTCATAAACCATTATGTGTTAGACCTAGAAAGCTATTTACATATTTTCCAGATGTTGTTGTGAAGATGTAACAGCAGTTTCCTCTGGTAGGTTCCAGAATTTTTTCTCCTTTATACTTGGCAGGCACCCCAAAACAAATACACAAACACAGCTACCCCAAATGCAGTCTGAAATGGAGACCATTTCAGAACTTGGCATCATTTATTGTACTTGGTTATTTTTTCTTATCCAAAGCACAGTCCTAACATTTCTCCAAGCATTTAAATCATTTGGTTTTTACCCTACAAGAATTTCACCCATTCCCACTTGCACTTATATATGCTAAAATGAACGGGAGATAATAGAACTTGGCAATATATTGCATTTTCTCTTCCTCACCCACAGCACAACCTATAGTTTTGCAAAACTTGGTATGCTTGAATGGAGTGGTTAGAATGCCAGGCATTCCAAGTGGTGTTCTAAATGCGAGACAAAAAATAATTTGCATTAATCTACCCAGGTACAATACCAATTCAAATACGTAATGCTGTACAAAATGGGCCAAATTCAGCCACGGTGTGAGTGGAACTGTGCCCACTTACCTCAGGCTGAATTTGGACCATTGTACACTATAATTTTGTAATTCCTTTTTTCATACGAAATACATTACTGGTTTGTCGTATTTAATCAAAAATCTCATGAGCATAGCAAGACGTGGGATGGACTAGATGACCTAATTGGTCTTTCCATCTCTAATGACTATGAGTCTATGAATCTGGACCTTAAACTCCTTCCCTGGTTTAGAGGCAGCTTAGTATTCACCTTTCACTGTTTGCCAATACTTTCTCCCAGGACAATGGTGATTTGTGCTGAGGGCAAGAAGTTAGGAAAATTCAAAAAAGTGTGGAACTGATTCAGCTAGTAAAAAAAGAACATAATGAAACATTACCTAATTGTTTTGTAATGTTTTTATGCAATATCCAAAATTGGGCTTGGAAAGAACTTCATCTGAATAGAGGAATAAACACAGCCCAATTCTTGGATGAGCACTGTAATGTACAGTCTTCTTGAATGATATGGGGACATTCAGTTTTTCCCCCCCATAATTACTGTAGGCCAAGGATGTATATTCAGAAAGGGATGCATTTTGAATGACACAATGGAGGAAATATTTGCCCAAGAACTTTAGCACGGAAATAAAAGTGATCTGATAGCCAAATCTTTCAAAATGTAATATTGTTTCCTGTTTTTGTTATGCTAAATGAGAAACATTACATTGTGTCATCCACTTAGCCAGGACAGACATGGATGTTGTCCCTAGCTCTGTTTGCCAGAAGCTGGGAATGAGCAACATGGGATGAATCACTTGATGATTGCCTGTGCTGTTCATTCCCTCTGGGGCACCTGGCATTGGCCAATGTCGGAAGACGGGATACTGGGCTAGATGGACCTTTGGTCTGACCCAGTATGGCTGTTCTTATGTAATAATACATTCTATCTTTTCTATTGAATATGTAATTGAACTATAAAAAGGGGCCATTTTAATAAAAAATAATCTTGCTTTGTGCTCTTAACACTTAATAAACATTTGAGACATTTTACCATCCTTTAGGATTTCATATCACAGCAAATACATAAGCCACAAATGACAATTTTTTCAGGTAGCTACATGCACATGCAATTTAGGTTCTAGCTGCCTATGAGCATGCAGTGGATTTGCTCTCAATTCTACAGCATGCGAAAATACTCCTTCAAAAAGGCATCGTCCCAGTTTATGCCTAAAACGTTCAGTAGCAAATTCTATGCAGTAATCCTGAATGAGAATTTAAACTTTTTTGGGAGGGGGGAGGGGTATCCCTGTGTTTACAGATGTGCTAAGCTCAGTAAACTAAGCTTGGGCTTTCCCTTACTGCACAGGACTACCCAGGGCACACTTTACCCTTCCACACACTGGCAAGGGAGGGGGATTTTGAGATGTCACAAAAGATAACTTTTCCTTCCATAGCCTGAGCATCCCTCCTGTTTTCCCTTTACTCCCCTTACCCTCAAGACCCTGCACGCTGTCTACAATCCTCCCAGGAGATCTAGATTCAGCTCTCTCCAGGGCCTGTAGTACTGCTCCCAAATCAGCAAGAGAGGAGAGCTGCCAAGCAAAGTGATGTTCTTATAAATGCACTAGAGCTCACAGAGTGTCCTGCAGTTAGTGTGCAGCACTTAACCATTAGGACATAGGTCTGGCTCCCAACAAAGATATCTTTTATTTAGCTTATTAAGCTAAACAGAGAGCATGCAACATAACTAATCAAACATGACAGATATGGGCCACACTGTTTATATGGTCAAGATCAATCTATTTTTCCCTAGGGAAAGCTCATTATTATGTTCTCAGCAGATATGGTGTTGAGCCATAGAATATGCATCAGGTGTCTTTCTGAAATGGAACTTCCAGCTATGCCTAAATATGTATTTATGAGTCTAACTTCAGGTTTGAAAATGTTTGAAACCTTGTATTTGCAGCCGGAGCAAAGGTGAGGGCAATCTGACCAAACACTATATGTGGGTAGAAATGAAGTCCCACTATAAGCAGAACTAACCAGTTCCCACTTCTGTAGGAGATGTGGGTGTGTTACTTGTAGTTAATGATTATGCATTCTGCCCCTGCAGGCATCTTGCCAACTTCTGAGATGAACTTATGAATTCATTCACTGAGGTACTGGCACATGAGAAGTGAATATTTTTTTCCAATGTGTAAGGAATCTGCCTACATCTCATGGGTGTCAGATAAATGGGAGGGATTTACATTCTATTCAGCAGCACCATCCACTCCTGGCCCAAATGTCACCAGCTGCCAGAAGAGTTCTTCTGTGTATGTGTCCCTCTGTATATATGTAGAGACTTTTGAATGCTACGTTGTGAAAAGTGCTAATAACCCAGAGATGTTAGCTAAGAGGGAGAAGACATTCAGAGTGCAGTCTGTTATTGTACTCTAACTCATTCACATAACATATTAGCTATTAACAGCATTTTGCTTCTTGAAAAATTAAAAAATGCATTAACTTACAATCACTTCCAGTTTTCCCTGAACATCATGTGACTTGATAACCCAATTGACAGACTTTTTACACTTGAGGATAAGTATGAGGTCCCTGACAAGCATGACGTCTGGTTGAGATGGTCTAATGTCAATGATTATATCCACCTGGAAAGCACTGTATATGGAAAATAAAGGCAAAGTAAGACCAGAATGCCAGAAATTTTCAGCTATCAAACTTCTTCCAGTCCATCATGATTCCAGTGTCTGGCCAGCTGATTAAAATCCTGGAGATCATCCCAGGCAACACAACATGTGCAAAACAGATTGTTACTTCACACACACTAAAATGATTTTACATAACAGAATCAAGTGCTTTTTCAGACTAATAATTATTGTTCAATATTTTATCTCTTATTTACAAAAAGTTTTTGTTATTTGTTCCAGCTGTTATTTAAGCTAGATTAAACTGAACCACTAGTAGTTTGCTTTATACAATATTTTTTTCCTCATTTCAACAAAACAACTCTTAAATATACAGTTATTTCAGTTTCCATGGGTACAGATATATTAAAGATCAAAAGATCACCCCATCATACCACAAACCAAAATAAGCTAGGCAGGTTCAGCAACACAAAAAAGTACAAATGTGTTTTAGTAATATATCTGCTCTTAAAATTTTGCATGTGTCGTAGAATTATTATACTACCGTGTTTAGTTTCCAATACTTCTGGATATATAGTTATTTAAAAAAAATAAAACACAACACACAGACATCCAACCTACTGATTGCTGGAAAATTGAGGAATACAATCCAGATTTTTAACAGCACAGTAAAATAAGTAGAGCAAGTGGATTTTACCCAGCAATAACATTTCCTCATGCAGAATATAAATTCAACAGAAAATCTTCATTTCCATCATGCTTTTACCAAGTCTTAGACCATAAAAGTATGCTTGTTGCCAATTAATGGGCCTCAACTAAACTTTGCATTTTGATTTAATATCTCAGGGCCTTTGTCTTATCTCCTGTAGTTATGCACATGTCTCTCTTAGTTCCTGTTGGTTTCAACATGGGCAGCATCTGGGCATATAACAGGATTGAGGCAGGTACTGAATTAGTACACTTCTTTTTTAATCCTAAATTTTACTAGTACATTTAAACTAAGAAACATTTGCAGTTTAAATATTTGAAAAGTAAACTCCCATTATGCACTTTCAGCCAAAACCAAGACCCAGAGCTCCACCCAAGCAGAAGGCTGTAAGTGGATATCTCCACAGGAGACCAGTGGTGACAGTGATGAAAAGGAACTGCTCCATAGAAGCTATGCTTCACCACAATGGCTGAAGTAGCCCTTTACTGTCCCAGCTCATGCCATGCAGCAGCAAATCCATGGGCCCTACCCTGCCCTGCTTCTGTCATGACCCCGCCCTCCCTCAAACTCCCAGGCACTGCTATTTAAGGAACTCCTGCAGAGCTGGGTTCAGCAACATGCTGGGTGTGTGCATCCCCTGTGTAGTTCTCTCCCAACCGAACTCCTTTGTATAATTGAGGTGTACCAATTCCTTTGCCAAGGAGCTGGATTTGCTCTTAATGAAATTACGACAAAATTCGGTAACTCTAAGGCTAGGTCTACACTACCCGCCTGAATCGGCGGGTAGAAATCGACCTCTCGGGGATCGATTTATCGCGTCCCGTTGGGACGCAACAATCAATCCCCGAATCGACGTTCTTACTCCACAAGCGGAGGTGGGAGTAAGCGCCGTCGACAGGAAGCCGCAGAGGTCGATTTTGCCACCGTCCTCACAGCGGGGTAAGTCGGCTGCGATACGTCGAATTCAGCTACGCTATTCACGTAGCTGAATTTGCGTATCTTAAATCGACTCCCCCCATAGTGTAGATGTAGCCTTAGAGATCTGCCTGGTCTCTTTGGTAAGCAGACATTAGTCTCTTTCCATTATCTTTGAGGAATACACATTTCCACTGGTGCCTGTGGAAAAGCTGCACTGCTATGCTGACAGTGAAATACAGATTTTATGTACAATAACAATACTTAGCACCTATATAGGACTCTACAGGTGGGATTTTCAAAAATGCTCCACATTGGCTTAACTCTGCTTCCATTGAAATCAAGCAGAGATTTACCATTGACTCCACTGAGACCAGTTAGGCTACAAGTTAGTACTCTTTCCAAAAAAACCCCACAACCTGCACCCCAAAACTTTCCCTACAACTTCATGGCATTTTAGCTAAGCTTAATATCCTTCACAGCAATACTGTGAGGAAAACTGAGTCACAGAGGTTAAATGATTTGGCAAGTCACTGATATGCCGAGATTACAATTTGGGAGTGCTCGCTACCAGATGATGGTCACTTCTTTGTGCCAGCTGGCTCCTCTTGAACACTTCAGGCCAGACTCTGCCACCCTTACTCTGTGAGTAGTCCCACAACTTGAATAGAGTTCTGCCTGCAGAACAATGGCAGTATATGGCCCACGGGAACTACACTTTACTTTTACAGTCCAAACAGGAAATGAATGTATCATTTTGAGGCATCAATCCAGGGTCCTGCTCCAATATCCTTCTTGTACTAAATATTTCAGATTTCTACCTAATTTAAAGCAGAACAGGTCTGATTCTTCAACTCTTTCTTATAATGACCAAGAAGTCCTACTGATTTCATTTTTGACAGATACTAGGATTTTTACTTTAGTTATCTAATCCTCACAAGTTTACTTTATAACTTAATTTGTGGACACTTTACCTGTAGGGATTGGAGTTTGGAGTGATTAGTTCAATTATATGAACCTCTCTTTCTTGGTCTATGGCAGACATAAGGCACCCCTCCGCTGTCTTTGGTTGTAGATATCCCGCAAGATAATTCAGAGAGAGGAAATTCTTTTCTATGTTGCATGTGGGAGGAAAAACTTGATCTGGGGAAAAAAAGTATACACATATGCACTGATATATATGTATATACCCGACCCAACACAAACACTCCACTTAAATGCAACACTTCCTTGTAATCCTGATTTAAGTATACTTACTTGCGTAAGTATGGATGATACACCAACAATCTTGAAAAAAAATGGTGTTACTGTTCTAACAATATAGGACATCTCTGAGGCAAAAGCTATAAATAATTTATAATTGATAGTTTCTATTTACAACACACAGACATCTGAAAACAGGTGTAGTAAATTACAGGTGTAGTAAAGGTGATAGCTGAAAAATGATGGGTATAGTAAACTTTCTTCAGAATGAATAAAAGTACAGTTAATCTGGTGCACTGTGTTTAAAAAAATATTTCTTCTGAATGTAATTCACAAAAAAATATTTAAAAGGGATACCTTCAACTAGGGTGACCAGATGTCCCGATTTTATAGGGACAGTCCTGATATTCAGGGCTTTTTCTTATATAGGCGCCTATTCC